TAAAACAGATGCTGTCTGATGTAGGTTTCTCAAAAACGCACAGGAAGCGTGAGAGAATCACAACTCCCGAAGGCTATTTCTGCCACACTGTTCACAGGACTCTGACTGATAGGTGCCACCAACTGTAGCTTGCTGTCATGTAGTTGTTACAACGTTAATGTAGTGTGTCAGCATGGCTGAATGCTCGGACACCTCATTATGTTCAAAACAGCTGTCAAAAGGGTGAGAGGAAAACAACAGGAACATGTCTGTGTTTGTGATTGCATTGTTGCAAAACCATCAGGATGTGGAGGCAAAACTTGTCACGATTGGAAAGCATCCTTTTGTATCCCATCTTAGTAGATAATTTTTTTACTGTACAGAAAGGGCTTTTGTTAAAAAGGACGGGTGAAGTTGGCTACTCTGGATTTTTGGAAAACAATAGTCCCATTTACACTGACTTGTCCACGTAATGAAGTCCCCGGGTACCTCTTCTGCAGCTGCCATCATTATGTGCAGCCAACAAACCCGGGAAAATATAACTTCACTCCACAGCTTCCTTTGACACGGTCTCTTAAGATGGTGGTAGTATATTTTCTTTGTTAGATTATTGTTGGGCCTGTATTTGACAGGACAGATGTAGAGACATAGGAAAGGTGGGGAGAGAGAGTGCGAGAGGATATCCTCTGTCTGGATGATCCTGCCGCTAGTGCAACAAGAACTGAAGCCTCTGTACACAGGGTGCCTGCTCTACCAACTGACCAAAACTGTGTTCATTTTTACCTTTAATCAGCTGAGTTAAGATGCATTTCTGATCAAAAATGTTCATGGACATTTTGGGTTTTTTAGCTTATGAAAAGCAAAGCTATAGCTGTGTGGATTAGCTTGATATTACATTTTTTATTATTATGAAACAAAACAAACAAAAAAACAAAACACTTTTGGTTGATTACATTTCATATTTGAGATACAATTTTTGATTGAAATTGACCCTGAGCTTGGTGCTTCTTCACTGAATCCATGATTTCAGGCCACCGCCAATGCAGAGGACCTGTATTTTTCATCTGGTCACATCATTCCTTCATTTGACTATTTTTCACCTCCAGGCGACAGTTTCAACATGTATGATTTTTCACTCGGGACGACCTTGAAGGTGAGCTGGGGTTATCATAAAAAGATGGCAGCAACACAGACAAATGTTGCAAAGGAGAGTACGCAGTTTTGCAGGGAAAAGAGGGTTCCTGTGTAGAGGAGATGAAGGAGCTGCCAGCTGAGCATGGTGACCAGTCCATTAAAGATCGGCCACAGACAGTATGTGGGGAGGAGCAGGCAGGAGGAGGAGGAGGAGGAGGAGAGAGATACTTTGATAAGTGTTGCGCCTGTGTTAACCTTGATGGCCGCTAGCCATGGGCCGATGCCAGCAGCAAGGATCCATTTCAACTGGATTTGATTTTTTTTTTCCTTCTGTGCTCCAAGTGAAGAAAAAAAATCAATACTTGGGAGCACGGCATGACAGGAGCATCATTTTAGAATTGAAGTGGCTGTCAGGCATTGTCATTTGGTGACTTTTGTTCGCCATTGTACTTTTAAGCCCTCATTTTTCTCCCCCTCCTCTTCCTTTCACTCGTTTCTTCCGTGGCCCATTGTCTGAATTCCCCTGGTGACATTTTATGTTGCAATTTGAAAACTCGAGGGCAAGAGATCAAGTGCAAGAGAATCTCTTTGAAACCAATTGGTGGACTGGTACAGCATCTACTTTTGTTTAGCGACCCCCATCCTCCTTTTCTCATTTCATCCTCTTGTCTCCCCAGACCTCCATTGTGCTCCAGGAGGAATTTATTTGTGGTGTATTTGCATTCTCTGATACCAGACAAGGACAAGGCTGATGTCTCGCCTTCCTCTGGACAGTTTCTCTGCCCGTTTGTAAATGAAACCCTCTGGGAGTGCTTGTCGGCGGATGTGAGAAATTGGAGATTCTCGCAGAGCGATAGCACAGCCTTGGAGAGTTTGTAGCTCTGATGTGCCACCAATGTCAAGAGATTGCAAATCAAGCGCTTTAATAACATCTCTGCTGGTTTTGTTTCCTTCTCCTGTTCTCCAGCAGAACCTTGAGACCCCGTTTTTGTCAGTCAGGGTGTTGTTGAAGGCTCACTGTGGCAAAGCAACACCACAGACAGACCTCTCTCTGTCACTCTAATTGATAAACACAGGGCTGATATCTTGTAATGAGCCTCCATTCTCCAGCCTATTATGCTGGTTAACCCTCTAAACCCAGCGAGGGAGAGGAGGAGGGGAGCCGAGGCTTCATCTGACAACAACTACAGCATTTAGATAAGGCTGACACTGTTGCAACACGAACACTATGTGAAACTCGTCTCCTACTTATTATTTATAGAATAAGCATGGCAAAAACATGGCCCAGTGGCAGCTATTACCATAGCAACAAATAGCTAACGTGTGCATTATTCACTGCTTCAAAGAGATATAATTATGGTATTAAAATGCATGAGTTTCCAAGCTTTGTCTCAGAATGTTCATGTTGCCATTTTTTCCCATTATGTGATTGTTTATTTTGGAGATGATTACTGTCCTTGCCGAACCCTAGTCCCTTCCAATAGCAGCCCATTTCCTTCCCCAAAACTCCAGCACACATCCATAGCTATTTATTCGAGCTGCTGATGAATTGTGGGAGACACGACTCAGTGTAATTGACTCGATTAATGCCAGGCATTATCATTTCGTTTTCACCCAAGCTGTCTCCTCCGGCAGAGCAGGCACTCGCACTGGGACGACCCTGTCAGCCGGGCCATGTAATGGAAGGTGCTGCCAATGATTACAGTGTCCCAAGTCATAACAGTCTCACTGCCAGCAAGTAGTGCCCTGGTGGCTGTTTGCTGTTAGCATAGTCTGCCGTCCCTCTTCGTTCAGCTGCGATCTTTTAACTCGCTGAATGGAAGTGCCCTTCTCTGAAAAAGTCGTTTTTATGCTTGTTTTCTTGTCAAAGTATGCACACTGACTCATTCAGTCACTCCAAAAGAGGCATGTTTCGAATAGTAAATGGGATCAGATACTTAAGATTTTCTTCTTATGTTCCCCTGAAAGAAAATAAAGAACAGTCTGTGAAAAAAAAAAAAAAAACACCCCTTCTTAGTTTCTGCCCTTTATCCGTTCTGCAGACCATCATGGTGCCAACCGGAAAATTAAGTTATTCGCTTAAATCTCCATAATAACACAACATAATATATCCTTCATAATACCTCAGCATTTTCTCTGACTTCATATCTCAGGAATGGGCCCTGGAATTAGCAGTGACTTGTCTTTTCCACTTACAAGCAAAGGCAACGTTGGCTTTAAATGCCACTACTTATGTGTTCAGCGTTTCTGGTTGTTGTTTCAAGGGTGAGTCTCTGAATTTGGCCTTTTTCTCCTGTAGTCGACTTTGGCCTTGGATGTGAGAAAAGCCCATTACAGCATGGAGGGTTTGGGTGTTTGGGCAGGCTCAACACGCAGGTGATGAAGTGTTTGTTTATGGTTATGAGTTTGAACCCAGCGCTGTTGATTAGTACTACAGACTTTATATGTCTCAGACACAGACGGATGGAAATTGACTTTTTCTAGGCGCGCTGCTAACATCTGTTTAAAGAGCAGAATCCACATAACCATTAATTTTGCGTAAATGTGTCTTTTCTATAATCATATATAAAATATTTGGGTGTTGAATGTTTCTCTGTTTTCCCAGATTAAAATTTTTTTTCCCACTGACAGTTTATCATAGTGTCTTATGAATATATTAAGCTTGTTGCTAGCCCCTTTTTGTGGTCCAGCTTTGCACTTGTCCCAATTCCTGTTTCCCCCTCAGCGCCACTGATCAAGATAAATGGACATCCAACACACGGTCACACTTACACACACACACACACACACACACACACACACACACACAGAGAAAACCATGCCTGGTTTGAAAATCTGAAACACTTGTTTGAAAATTCCTTCTTTGTACTCCTTTTATTTTTTGCCCGTCATCATCGTGCTGGAAGGTCAAGGCTCACTTTAATGCCACACAAAGAGACACAGATTGATAATTAAGGCTCCGGAGCCTGAAGAAAAGCCGCTCTAATGTGATTTATACCTATAGATTTTCTGTCAGATATGAAATGTTGTCTTTCAAATTGGAGAGGAGGACCCATTATAAAGTGCTTTACTGGTAACTTTGGAAAAGCAGGTTGCTTCTGTTAAGCCGTGCATCTGGGTCTACTCTCCCTGTGTGATGACCATCGGACCAATGGGATCTTTTAAGGTTAATTGAATAAAAAGAGAGTCATATGCAGCTAAAGCAGCATAAATAATTGAATGAGTGTTCCTTCTTAATCCTGCTGCCATTGTCTTTTGCTGCTGTCCTTGGAGAATGTAAAAAAAGAAAACATAAATGCACAACGGCAGGCTGAAGATCTGCGTGGCTATACATAGCTCATGTTCTTCTGTCCTCCATTTTTCTGCACTCACCTTCAATAAGAATACAACTTTGAAACAACTCTTTAAAAGAAAGCCCTGAGAGCATTCCGAGTTTGCAATTGAAATGTATCCTGAGATGGAAAATCGAAACGCCGTTTCAAATTATAGCTGTTATTCTCAGAAGGTGTTTTTACTTTTACCATCACTGCAGAGTTCAAAGGCCCATTCTGATAACAAATTCCGACAGAGAAAAATGTCCTCCCTGTGCATTGTGGGTATCATGTGATTTGGTGCACCAGAGGGCATTAGTAAATAGGTGTCAACTGTTATTAATCATAATGACACAAGGACAGAAATGACTCTGCTTTTCAGTTGCTTTAACTCGGAGTGAAGTTTCTATATGTTTGGCCCGTATCTGGAATATTCCCTCTCACAGACCTGTTTTTCTATGTTCCATTAGCCGGAGAATTAAACATTTTAGAATTTATATTCTGTAAAATGTCTTAGCGACTTGACTTTGCTGGATTGACATATAAAACAATTTTTTTCCCCTCTTTCTTTCCCAGTCTAACAGTGCACAGTACGCAGCGGAGAAGCGAGACGAGGAAAAAATGTGCGACCACCTGATCAGAGCGGCCAAATACCGCGACCATGTGACAGCTACGCAGCTCATCCAGAAGATAGTCAACATCCTGACTGACAAACATGGCGCCTGGGGACGGTCCTCCATGAGGTACAACAAATATCTAACAGAAACGGACCTTGTCAAGTTTCTAAATTATAAATCTCATTTTGCAAGTTTGAGCATCATTATTTCAGCCATTATCATGTCAATGTACTTTTAAGTAAGATGGATATTTGACTCAAACTTACAAAATAGTTGATAAATTATCCTTTAAGGGTTGAAAATTCTATCTTGCTGTTGACGTCTTCTTGGCTTGGCTTATCACACACATACTGGTACATTTAATAGATTTTACATGTTCTATGCGTTCCTTTTTGTGAGTACCAAAAACAATCCTTTGATACAATAGAAATTTGTTGAATTTCCACATGCTGTGATATTTAAGAGTGAAGTAAAGTTCCACTGTTACTCAAATAAAGCATTGTATAGAAAAGCCTTTAATCAAGAGATTGCACCTGTTCTCATAGCATGTATTTCTGCTGCTGAGAAAATGATTCAAACCACTGTAATGGTTTTAATCTCATCATAATCTTTCTCTACCCCCAGTACTCATGACTTTGATTAAATTAGATCTGCAAAGGTGAAAATGTCAGCTGTGCAGCTGAATGATGCATTGACTCTGGAGAGAGATGAAAGCCATTTAAACAGCTCTGCTCCCATTAAGAACAGAGGGAACCCTATCCTCTGTGTTTGTTTCGCCAAATAGGCAGCACAATCCAATGCAACTATTCCCTAATGATGGCTGTTTGTGCAGGTAGTGTGTAATGGTGAGCCGGAGAAACGGCCGCTGGCTTGCGCTTGTTAGTCTGAACCAACTCTCCCGAGACTCGTCTGGCGAGGGGTTGGTTTGCTATTGGCTAGGGAGTCTATCTCTGGCTGCCTTTGTTTTCCCTTTTATTATTTTTTGTGTCTCATATCAGGATGTGGTGTACTATTTGTCATATTTTTCTTTCCTTTATCCCATCTCCCCCTTTTCTCCCCCTTCACTTTCTCTCGAAGTCTCCATGTGTACTCACACAAGGGTCTGCTATTTACTATGGAGATTGTGTTCTGCGAGCCCCGGCCAGAAAAGTCCCCCATTACCGGCCCTTTATGCCGCTGTGCTATTGATGGTTTTCCTAATGGCTGCCGATGGGCTCAGGGAGCCATTGGCACTGGGCCTTGGAGTGCAGCGCTCTTTTAATAAATCACAATCAGTCCTGTGCCATTACATCAATATTTTTGGTCAATTACTGTGAAGGTCAGGTGGTGCTGCTTCGCACCAGAGACTCCGGTATGCGGGCATAGAAGAAACATCTGGTGCTGCAGAAAAAGACAAAGTAGTAGGAAAAGATAGAAAAGGGAAAAAAAAAAAAAAAACTCTCAAGCACACCTGCATACCTGCAGGCGCCCTAACATAAGAGATATTAATCCTTAAATCCACACATACCCAAAAGCAATGTGTACTGCCTGTAAATACAATTTGGGGAGAAAAGATACACACAGTGAAACCTGCAGGCTCTCCCCAGCTGTGAAAATGAAATCCAGGAACAAAAGACAATACGCAGCTACGATTACGACCTTTTGTTGCTCTGGTGTAAAATCCACGCCTGCCTGCTCACAAGCCATAAAAACATATTCCCCAAAGTTTCCATTCAATAAAGAGTCTGAAAATGAAAATATTATTTTCTCACAAGCTGATGGGAATTGTTGTTTCCTCACGGCAGGCGTCTAATATCTTCTGACACAGTGTGACCCGCCTGAATGCAATTTGTGTCTTAATATCCAGCTTACAGCGGCCCGGGCCTCGGGAGAGAAGAGGTGTTAGGTGATTTTTCCCTTTTCCCATTCTGCTGCTTCGTCTTCCGTCTCTGTCTGTTGCTCTCTCAGTCCTCCTTTCTCTCCTTTTTCTCCCCTTTTCGCTCACACTTTTTGTCCTTTGCGCTTCCTTGTTTCACTTTACTTGTATCATCTAGAGAGTTTCATCTAGGGACTTTCCACCGGACAGGCAGTGTCTATCATTTTTTGTGCCCTTGTCTGTTATCTAGTGTCAAGACAAAGACAGATTCGCAGACCCACAGAAGGGTCGCCTCTTTCTTCATCCATACGTTTCTGCCTTGAGACCCAGGTGTACAACATGCCAGCCTGCTGTCTTTTAAAGAGGGGGGGGAGGAAGTAAATGAACAGCTAGCCCTGATAAGCCACAAATGAAACAACTGGCAGATATCATATTTTTCATCTCCCGATTTTTTTCCTCTCTTTTCTTTGAGCTCTGGTCCACTGAGCATCCAGACTGCCGCAGTGTTTATTTGGGTCAAGAATCATCTTTCATGTATATGACACAGACAAAGTCAACGGACAGAGAGCAGAGATGAGGGCAGATGATGGAGAACGTCAACTCACAGTCTCAGGGGACACACACCACTCTTCTCGTTTTTCCCTTCTCATACCTTTGCTTTATTGCATTCTAATAGTCTGACTAATGTACCATGGAAATTCACTCTGGATGCTGGAAGCGAGGGAAGTAAAAGGAAGGTGGCTGCTGATTGGAAAAAAAAAAAAGGCTTGAAGTGTGATGTAGAAGCAGTGTGTGCACTTCACTTTCCAGACAGTCTTATTGAGGCGAATAGAAAAAAAATGTTAAGATGCTGTTCTCCAACTCCTCCTTCTTAAGCTGCATATTCCTCTTTTCTTCTCCAAATCCTCACCTACATCTAGTCCCTCCAAAACACAACACCTCACGCACCAACTCCTCTCCCTCTGCTCCTCCTCCCCCGTATAAGCAGCTCATTTTCTGCAGCACCACCGCTCTAATGGACGCCCTTAGGCTAGAGTCTTCCCAGCCAAGGGACATCCATCTTTTGGCATGTCACACTCCCGCCCGGCGAAAAATCTTTGTGATGTGCACTCCAATTTTTCTTCAGTAAATCAAATCATCCTTCCTTCAGAAAGACGAATGCTTTAGGGTTGGAGTGTTATAGAGAAAATCAATGCCGGCAAAATTGAAACAGTATGCCCCCGTATTGATCGGCCTTGTGAGATCGAAAAGGAACAGCTTTGTAACTGTTTCGCTGGACAGTTAGCTGACCTGTAATGGACAAACTATTGATATTAGCATTACTATTTTATCTTCTGCTATGTCATTTCTCCGACGCACTATTGAGGTGAAAAGAAGCCCGAGCTGAACTGCTGGAAGGTTTTTCTCCTTTTTGTCCGTTAATGAAACAAAGGAAAAATAGTGGACTGCTGACTACAGAATACACTGAGGAGGATTTTACCTTTTAATAAAGATTGTTTTTTATTTTACATAAAATACCCATATAATAGCACATTCTATGCGATACATTAAAGGTGTTACTTATATATTTTTTTCCTTCTCATCAGGATTGAAACTAAAGATTGTTGTGTAAGTTGATTATCAGATTGTTTCTGATAAACGCTTAAATTATTCATCTTTTATTTTTGTCTAGAAAAAATTCTCAGTCTGTACAGAACATCTTTTAGTGAGTTATTTTTAACTCTTTGAATATTTTTTAAAAAGCAAGTCATATTAAGGAAGCTATATAACCTGCAAGTATTGCGTTTTGTTTAAACACAGAATACAGGATTTCTTTTATACTGTTCTGATGCTGTTCTTCCTACAAAAGTCTTAAAAGTATATATTTTTATTTCTAACATTAAAGAGTCCAAAGATTTGTATGTCTTGAGATATTTGTCAAAAAGAGGCAACAAACCTTCATCCTTAAGAACCTTATTCTAGAGCTTGTGTGTGGTTTTTCCTGGAAAATGGCTGAATCGATTTGTAGTCACAGCTCTTAAAATTAGAGTATAACTAAGTTAAAAGTGTCTACCAGAGTTCATATTAAACCCCCCCCCCGCTTCCAAAAAATAAAAATACACAGCCTCACCGTTATTTATAGTCTAACAGTCTAAAACTTGAGGGCAGGGTTGGTCATTTTCACACACTACACTTAAAGATTTAGGTTGAAATTGTCTTTCGGTCCTGACAGAAATGAATAATTCATATGCTCTAAAAAAAGGAACAAAGAAAATCCGTCATCTGTAGCAGTTGTAAGCCCGTAAAAACCTCCACCAATGTCTGCCACGAGGCACCAATTTGATGAACCTATCATGCCTTCCTGTCTCCCCTGCTCGTTCTCTACCCCTTGCGTGCACCAGCCCACACTCAAAGCACGTCACCGATGACAGATTTTTTAGAATGAGTTTGTCGTTGGCTGTTGAGAGTAGTAAAATTATCACTTTTTTTTATTTTTACATGTAACATGATAAAGTTTAGTTTTTATTTACAGCTGAATCAGACATTAGACAACGTAGTTTCTACATGATGCAAGCGATGAGCTGAGGTCCAATTCTGGATTAACAGCCCTTGTGCATGTAGATGAGGGGCGTGGCTTTTGAGGGAGCACAGAGGGGAGGGGGGGGAGGGTTACATTAAGATTGTATGTGTTATTTAATTGCTTTTGATTGACTATTGACTATTCGATTTGGACATGCTGCCCCCCTGGCTGCATTTGTAAACAATATACGACTATTATCAACGTCAGAAATGAATGCCAATTTCCTGTTCATCAAATAATAATCAATCAGCCATTTAATAACGCAACTTCTACTCATTGTCCTGTTCTCAAGCAGGCCTCGTTAGCTTGGTCCCAGTTGTTGAGCATCCTCTTCTGGATTAGAATCTATGAATTTTGCTGTGAACACACACGGGGGTTCTGCTTAGTACACTGGGGACATTCATGGTCCCAGAGTATTTTTTTTTCTAAATAAATGATTGCATGAGAAACAGCGACAGCCAGATTCATCTCCACTTGTATGCTTTCATTCCAGACTTAAATCACAATTATGATCCATAATACTGAATGTAATGCATGTGTTAAAGCCGAGGCCTGCACAGTGTCCCCGCTGCCTCGCGTGTGGGTTTTATGGACAAAGGCATACACAACGGCTGTGCCGGTACTGTGCATGCAGAGCTGAAAAAGGAAATGGGACTCCAGCACGTCAGCGGAGATCATAACCATAGGAAACAAGAACATAACTGTTTAGAG